TGATCTTACAGTTTAGATGAAAGCAATGCAAATTGCATTTATTAAGTCACAATTTCTTTAAACCCATGTGTTCATTGCAGAGTGTTCAAGAGCAGGCAGAAATATATGTGGAGACAGGGTATTACAAACACACAGAGCTTTTTTCTCTTCTCCTGGGAGGTAGGAGCTGCCTGCTGTGATAAAGGGGTTGTTTGACTCAGAACATCCTCAGCTGGAGTTTGGAGTGGTGAGTGCCTGGTGAAGTGCAGAATGGTGCAGTGAAGGGGCGAGGAGGCACTGAGTGTTGGATTCCTTCTGTAGCACTGCTCGAGCTTCTCTCCCAGACCCTGTGACTTCTCATGTTGATCAGAATTGTTATTGATAACTTTTGGAGATTCAATGAACAGATGAGTGCCTGGGGGGGGGGGGGGGAGAGTAGATTTCAGGAAACTTATTCCCTCCTCAAAAATTCAATACTTGGATAGTTAATTTTCACAGACAATCAGCACTTGTGATGGCTGGCTAACAGTTGTGAGTGGAGTACTTCCTTGGCCAAACTTCAGCTTTGGAGGGGAGGTGACCCTGTGGTTAAGAGATTTTTATAAAGGATTTTGCTATGAAAGCCGAGCCCCACGACTCCGGAGGACCCATGTAGGAATCGAGGCAGTGGCTACAGTTAGAGCTTTAGCAGAGCTGTCTTAATTAGTGAGCTGTCATGCCCGAGTCATAAAACACTAAAATTGTTAATTACATTTTGAGCAGAGATAATAACAGCTTTCTATAAGCAAATTGCTAAAAGCCAAATCATGAGTGTGTGTGTCACCATAACTGTGTCGCTAATGGCATCTCTAACTCCAGCATCCCTTAGCTAGTTGGAGCGGACTTCACAGTGGGGTGGCTGGATCCCTGCCTGCACTCCCTGCTCACACACCACCCTGGAAATATTGCCTGCCCTGATACAGTGAATCCTTCCAGGGTACAGAAGCTGAAGGGGGGGAGGCTGGTGGCAGGTGCATCATGCAGACTGGTCCAAAACCTGTTTTATTCTCTGTGGTTGTTGCACTCTGTTTTGTTATTTTTTATTGCTTTCCCTTCCCCACAGACCTAATCAAATTTGAAATGTGGATGGGATGCTTGAAGCAGCCCTACAGTGCAGAACTCTCTTCTCTTTCAGGTGATCATTTGTAGCATGGCATATTTTTAAGTTGGGAAAAAAACCCCAAAGGATAAAATGGGTAACAAAACAGAAAGGAGATTTTAATTTGTAATTAGGGCATTCAGAGACCCTTTAGTGCTTGCGATAGAAGCAATTAATAGGCATGTTTTTGTGTGAGGCAGGGCCTACTTAAGTAGGTTGCGAGGCCAGTAGCCAGGAGACCTACTTTCTTTTCTTGGCTTTATTGCTTATCCTTTCTGTGATCTTGGGCAAGAGTCTTTATTTTTTTTCCTTTTCCTTCTTAACTTTTTTCCCCCCCTTTCAGGTCCATTCACATTGGAAGTAAGTTTCTCACTATGTGCTCTGCACAAGAAGGGACACAATCTTAAGTGGAAGATTGAGGCCCTGTTGTAATACCGATAGTTCTCTGTGCTGCTTTGCTGGAAATAATCCATCAGGAATGTTGGTTACTTTGTGGGTTTGCTATGTGAGCATCTTATGGGATACCTGTATAAGAACAGGCACACTGTAGAGAGCTCTGGTGAAGGTCAGGCTCACAAGGGTTCGATAGCTACCGCTGTTCCCATATATCTCTGCTTGGAGATGGTGAGTGGCACCAGGGAGGTGACCATATGTAGCAGATCTGGTGGTGCTGGGGCAGTTTTGGAGGTGGAGGGTCTCTTAAGGCCATCAGGAGCACCCCATGCCCTTTGCTGCCTGCAGCAAGAGCTGCATAGCAAAGGGTTGAGTTTGCAAGCAAGGTGTTTTCAATGGGCTTTGAACAGTGCTTAGTCCAAATGGCTTTATGACTAGCTGGTGATGAGCTGTTACCACCTGAAGGAAAACACCCAGGAAGTCCAAGAGAGGTGTCCTTTCTGCTGCTAGAGTAGTGGCTGTGAATCACCCTTGTTACTGTCTGCTTGAGTCATCACAAATGATAGACTAGGAAATGTAGGAATTAAATTAACAGGTGAATTGTGCCAAAAACCACAGCCCAAACAAAACCAGAGCACTTCTGAGGGGTTTTGAGGTTGGGTTGGGTTTTTTTTTGCTTTTCCGTATCATTGTTTTTTTACACTGAGCCGAAAACTTTTCCGTGCAATAATTTCTTTGTTTGCTGGCCTTAGGGGAACACAGCAGCTTTGAGCCATAAACGTGTTTTCTTAATAACTTTCAGAGAGAATTCTTTGATGATCAGGTTGTGATAGATGGTAGAAATCCTGATGGCATGTGAGGCTGTGCATATTTGCTTTTGTTCACCTCTAAAAAATAAAGAAAAGGGAAGGAGGAGGAAGCAGTTTAGCTTTCTACTTCAAACCCTGAGTTTCTTCTGTGATTCCTTCATGGTTTTTTACTAAGATGGGCTTGTATTAAGTGAACAAAAAAACTATGCCTTAATCTTTACATGCATAGCCTGGAAAATGTAAAGGCTGCTTACTTGTATGATGACTTCATAAGGGAGAAAACAGTCAGGCTGGAAAACTAGCTAAGCTTATTAGAACCGTACCTGGTTTCTCTTAAATGGCTTTGTAGAGTATTTTACAAAATTAATCCTCTAAAGTGTGTCAGTTGCTAAAATTTCCAAATCCTTGGCCTTGCGTTTGGCTACTGATTAAAGCATGGATTAAGCTGCAATTCCGTTGGTGTTAATGCCTAAATATGTGGTGGTTTTCAGACGGTAATCACTATTTTTTCTTGATCTTGGGAAATTTACTTTTGATCCACATGGGCAACAATGTATGAAGATGTTATGCTTCTTGCCACCTACAAATAAAAAGCGTTCTGTGGTGACAACAGTATTATGATGGATCTTTTCCTGCAATGAAATACCATAATGCCAAACTCTGAGCAAAGCATTGCATCACTTTGTATTTACAGTAACAATGGAAATGTTATGGTCAGTCACCCACAGCAGTATTTTTGCCCTTGCATCACCAAGGTGTGACTCAGCACCATGATATAAAGGCAGAGCTCCAGACAGGTGAGGCAAATTCCTAAAATCAAATTGCTGCCAAGACTGGGCAGGTCTCTGGGATTTACCCTGGCATTTTGGGTTAACCTGAAAGGGTTTCCTTCTTGTTGGTTTCTCTAATGTTCTAAGTAGTACAGTGGAATGGAGATGACTGTGATTCTACAGTTCCTAGCAGGGTTTTTATACATATGGCTCTGTATAATTTAGCCGGTACAGCTGTGGTAGTTTACAGTTCTGTGTACTTTGCAGTACTGGCAATTCTAAATGTTTGCTCTTTCTCAAAAGAAACAAGTTGACTTAAAACATGGTCTTTGATTCTTTGATTTTCACATTATATCCTGGCTATTTGAACATGGACTGCCCCAAAATGGATACTCCAGTGTTGGATGTCTAGGGCTATGTCACCCCACATTCTCCAAATCTTCTTCTGAGCAAAAGGCCTAAAGAATAAAACCAAAACACCCCCCCCAAAACAAACAAAAAACCAAAACCACACCTAAGTCTCTTGTCTCATCAGGGGTAAGGAGTGGTGTCTCTATAAGACAAAAACCCTCCATAATAGAAAGACCTGGTGACACAGACAGAAAAGCAAATGTTAGCAGTGCCTGCTCCCATTGGGCAGTCCTTCCCAACCCCACTACACCACCACTGACTCTGGGAAATTGTGGAAGGCCCGTATATGCACATACACATTACCTTGCTGGGCAAGCTCAATTTAAATGCAGCCTATTAAATTATTTACAGAAGACAGTTGGCCAGCCCATTGTGCTGTGTTAGTAGGAGCCAAAGGTCACTTTGGTTGCCTGGTTGATTCATAGGGTAATCTGATACAGTACTTAGCTTTTTGCCTCCCAGTCAGTGGGTTAAACCTTATCCTCTTATTATGAGTCAGAGAACCATAAGTTTCATAAAAAGCTGGAGCCTTTGTTTTTAATGGTTTTGAAGTGGCTGTGCAGCAGAATCCAATGGGCTGCGAGCGCATCTGCCAGGGGGTTGGGGCGTGTTCTGCAGTAGTGTAAATCTGACTGACAGCTTAGGAGCTGGAACCTTGTACCCTTGTTTTCTTAAGCTTCTTGTCCTTTTCCTAACATCATCTGCAGCTATGAGGATATTAAGGCATTTATGCTTATCCTTCAGATAGGTGTCACTTTTTGTTTTGGTGGTTTTGTTTTCATTTGTTCTTATGTTTTTTTTTTCCTGGGGTCCTCACTACCAGCATCTCCTTGAGGATTCACTGAGCTGATTTTGATATCTCATATGTTCACATCTATTTTTCTGCTGCAAGATACAAGCCTGTGTGCTTTTTGTCAGCTCTCATCTTAGTAACAGACCTTTGTATTGCTAACTTCTGTTTGCTTTAAAATGGTGCATTTACCTCACCTGCTTCCAGGTTTACTCCCTCTAGGAAGTGGCACCGGTGTCAGCATGCAGGGCAAGTGGTTGGCATTGCAGTAGCTTTCAGTAGACCCTAACTTTATAATGCTTTTTCCAGTAGCTAGCCTAAAGAGAAGGTGGCAGAACACAGCATAGCTGGGAGTTTAAACCTGGTTTGTGAGCTGCAGCCACACCAGTGGCAGTGTGGTTACTAGAAATGCCTGCTCACGTGCAGATTTTGTTTTGTGCCTGTGAGCGAATGTCTCTTTAAATGAACCACAGGTTACAGGGGCACTGATGTTTTCAGCACGCTGCTCAGGACGCCCCAGAGTTTTATTGTTCCTCTTTCCAAGTCCGCAGAGGTGCACAAGTGCTTCTCTATTTCTGCATTCAGAGTTCAGAAGTTTGTGCTGCCACCGAGCAGGCTGAGGAAAGGAGGAGTTTTGCTTCTGTGGTCGTGCTCTTAGGAGAGCGAGCCTATCGTATTTCACTCTAATCCTAAGCGATAGCCACGCAGTCTGTTTTATTGTTAGGAGAGCCTTCCTGGAGCTCCTTCACCAGGCTTTTCTCACTAAGGAAGATCAGGGCAGCCAGAACAAGGAGGCAGAAGTGTGGCGAGTCCTTTGCCCCTCCTGAGCTGTACCATGCCGGGATGTGATCTCTGCCTCTTCTTCTGTCCCTGTGGGGTGTTTTTGGTGATCCAGAAGAGAGGACTGAAATGCATGCACGCTCCTGGGGAGCGATGCCAAGGTGAAGAGTGGAGCTACAGTTTTTGCTGTTGAGTGGAGAATGGGGAAAACACGTGCCTTAGTGCTATATTCTGCTCAGCCGTTACATGCTTCTCTGAGCTGCTGCTGCAAGGTGCCACTTTCTGCTGCTTTTCTGCCCTTTGTTTTCTTTGGCAGCTCCCTAAGTGCTGTATCAAAACAGCTTCAGGGGAGCTGTGCTGGCACGGTGACCTACCTCCATACTGGTGCTGGGTTAAATGCAGCGAGAAGAAACCTGGACGGAAATCGGATTGAAATTGTTTAGCCTCCCACGAAAACCAGTGAGGAGGGGGACAGGAGCGATTTCAGAAAGGTCTGTTTGGAACTGAGACCAGTAGCTGGCTTGAAAGAAAATGAAAAAGGAGTGTGTTTCAAGACCTTTCAAACTCAAACAAAACCCAGGCTCCCTCTCGCGTGCTGTAAGCTGGATAAATTTCTCCTCCTTGTCAAGGCAGACAAAGAGATTGTTTCGCAGCGATGGTGAACTCTCCTCCATGTGCATGCAGCAGGTAGACGAGGATGATGAGAACTGGATCTACAGGAGCCAGCAGAGAAAAGGTGACTCTTTAGCTTTCTCTTTAACCCTTGTAATAGCTGCTGCTGTGTCAGCCCCTGGTCCGTGCTGTTGTCCAGCTGCTCAGGTCCCGCTGGGAGCTGCAGGTGGGGTAGGAGGAGGAGGGCAGCACAAAAGCCCAGGAGCAGCACTGCCTTGCCAAGTTTTTCTCAGGTTAAAATTGCGAAAGCTTATAGTAATCAACGGGAAAACCTTTAATTTCCCATCTGGGCAGCAAAAAGGTGTGTCTGTAAGTTTTGTTTATGCTTCTTGTAGCTGATAGTTGTTGATGTCAGATCCTCTGGGCAGGTGCTGCAGGAATCTCTCCTCGTTATGTGGTACCAAAAGCCATTTAAGACTTCACTTGTAACACCCTGGGTGGCTTTTTGGATGACTGCCTTGTGGTCCTACTGGAAAATGTTAAGTGTGTTTCGGTTTATGAGGGCAGATTGAGAAGAGGTCCCAGATGCAAAATAAAAGAGATGATAGTATGGTGATGGGAATTGCTCCACAGAGAGGAGGAGGGAGATCTAGGATGCATGATAGGCAGCTCTGAATGAACCCTTGCAATACTCAAACCTGCAGTGTGTTTTATACGGGACTTTTAAAAAGTAGGTTTTTTTGTGCGTGTTCATTATTTTGAATGGAGTTTGTCAGGTATTTATTCAAGCATACCTCATATTTTCCATAAATCAAATCTCAGAAGTTTGCTCCTCCGAAATGGTGAGCTAGTGTTAGCAGTGGCAGGCAGTGGCATGTGTGTGTGGTTAAAAATACTTTTTGAAGTGATTTGGTTGTAATTTCTCCAGTGCTGCCAGAGCACTGCTGTTAATGGAAAGTGTAAGGTTGACTCAGTTCTGTTGTAAGGTCGCTCCAGTAAGAGCAGGCAGGTTCTCCAAGGGCATTTGAACTTCAGAGATTTTTATTTCTTTTCATCTGTGGGAGCAGTTAACAGCTGTCTGACCAGAATTTCAGTTCTGAGTCAGGATGAATTGTGGCTTTAGTAAATGGTTTGGATGCAGGAACACTAACACAGGATGTATACCCTTGTGTTTTGCTCCCAGCATGCTAGAAGACAATTTTAATCTGTGCTTTGAAGATTTATTTTTAACCCCTTTTGCTCCTGAAAAACTTCCAAAGAGGGAGTTTGGATTTGTAATCAGTGGCTAATATTTAGTTCTGATTGTTGGCATGTTGATACTCTTCAGCATTGTCAGATATGCTTCCAATGCCTCTGGGATCTTACCGGTTGTGGAGCAGAACCACTGTACTCCTGCTGGTATATTAGGCACTCCTGCTACTGGTCACTATGTAACTTACACGAAGTTTCTCATGCTGCCTGCCTTAGCCCGCGCTCACACCACAAGGCAGAGATGGGAAAGGAAGCTTTACTGAAGGATTAATGGTGTATTAATTTTTCTGACTGATTTACATAAAGAGCCCATTGTACAAGCTGGAGGGGGAGGCCAGAATTCCTCCCATAATTAGGCACTAACCGTATGATAGCTTCCCTGCCTGCCTATAGCAGAGATGATTGTATGTTATTTTTTGAAGGAAGGTGGAATGAGGGATACATTCTTAAGGCTTATTTCCACTTTGCGGGGGCCCAATTTGCCTCAACTTATAAATTCTGGCTGGATCATAAATCTAACTGTGTAGTTCTGTCCGACTGGGATCATCTGCTTGGAGGGAGCTGACAAACTGATGGAGGATGCCAGGGCTGAAGAGAGTTTAGCTTACACACTCTGGCAGGAGAAACTTGTCATGGCTGCAAGTGTTTCACCCAGGACTGTGAGTCAGGCTTGCACAGTGTTGGAACAGCTCGAATATTGGTACCTGGCTGAGATGTAATCTTGGTTTGTGTTCAAAGGCAAAGCATATGTGATAAATGAATACTTGTGTTCTTGAATTAGCTTGCTCCACTGGACTGTTGCATTGCTGCTTGCCAGCCTTTGTAGGACTGAGGGCTCAAAACAGTATTGTACTTGGTGCTCAAATTAACCACATCACTTAGAATTTATGCAGACTAAAAGAATTGAGGTGCACAGCAGGCTGGAAAGATGACTAGTTTTACATAAAACCCAGAGTGTTTAAGTTAGCTGAAAAGCTATCAAAATTTCATCTATCAGAATAATTTTGCCTCCAGTTCTTCCTCAGGTGAATCAGTAAAAAGATAAACCTGACAAATCACAGCCTCTCCTCCTACCTTTTTCTTTGCCTAAGTGTACATGTAAAGGAGGAGCATTAACAGCGCTGGAAATGAAGGAATTGTTCTTTCAGCTGTTTCTCTTCCTGTCTTTTTAGACCTCTCATTCTCTTGCCGCTTCATTGCTCTTTCCCGCTCATACTGCATTCCCACGGGGCTGCTAGGTGACAGGCACAAGGCAGCATGTGTTGCGTGGTATTTCACCAGCAAAGTGGCTAATCTGCATTGGCTGCAAACAGGGACTTGCAAACAGTGGTGAGCAGCGAGACTGGTTGGATTTGTCAGTTTAAAACGAGCAAGAAAAACAAGACGTAAATGCTAACTGTGAACCTGGGACACACCCCAATGTCCTGCACAGCTGAGCTCTGTGTGAAAGTCAACGTGGAGGCTGCTGCTTCGCTCTGTGTTTTTAAAAGTTATGTAGTATTAAAGATCATTTTGGAACTGGTGGCACCAATTAGTCTTCACATCTGATAAAGCAGTTGCTAAAAGAGATGTTAAAAGTTGATAGCAAAATAAAGGTTTCTTGTTTAAAACATTTTTTGCTCAGCCCTCTTCCCTCCAGGTCAGCTGAAGAACCTTTGAAATGAGAGCACACTGTAACTCTCTTGTTTCTCTTCTTTGGTCTGAATTTTTAGTTCAGGTTTCTTACTTTGTAGGGTAGGAGGTGTTTTCAGACTGAAGCTCAGAGTGTTTTTCTCCTTTAAAACCACATCAGAACTGTTGTTTTCTTTTAAAAACACAAATAACTGACAGTTACTCTTCAAAACTAACATGAAGGTGAGTTTATGGTACAGATCTCAGCATATTTACTTTGACTTTGCAGAAAAGGACATTAATCACATTTCAGCATCAGAACATCTTCCTGAGTTGTGCTATTTGTTTGGTTAGTTGGTTTTGCTTTGTTTATTTTTTTATTCATTTCTTCCTTCCTATTGGTTTGAGGTTTGGAAGAGGTCTGAGCAGTGCTGCCTTCACGGCTGGGCTTGCTGATCTCCTCACTGTGCTGGCAGGGATGCAGAGAAAGGGAATATGTTTCTCTGGAGCAGTGACCTTATTTCTCCTGTTACTTCCTTCCAGCAGTGATCTTCTGCTCAGGAGTTGGGGAACGACAATTAGCAGTCATGCCTGGCCACAGGTGCAATGCATCCAAAGAACCTGTCACCCAGTGGGGAGGTTTCGCCCTCTTCCTCCCAGCTCCTGTCCCTGTTTATTGCTTGGAGTTTTTACTCACTACCTCCATTTAACTTGGTCACTTTCCAACCTTTCTGCATCACAAGAAAGTCAAAAGCCATGGCTGCTTTTTTTACTGCAGGCTGCACTACCTGGGAAACTTAGAGTCATTAGTCAGAGAAACCTAATTTCTCAGTAACTGCAGTCTTTTAAAGGCTGATCAAACATGGTTCAGAAGGCGGCAGCCGCTGGCTTTCTGCAGTCTGCTGGCCAAGTCTCAGTCCTTAATATAAAAGCATGGGGAATTCCCATTATTTCCTTGCAAAACCAGTCTAAATGTGAAACTTTCTTTTAATGCTAAAAATCCTTTAAATTCTTATGTAGTTACTGTGAGTTCAGCCTTTTGTGTCCTTGTGGCATGTTGGATGGAGCCAATCCTGATGTCCTGAGGACAACTCTTACAGAAGCTATCAGTTAACTTTCTAACTACACTGCACGTCACGGTCTGAGAACATCAGGCTTACCAAGGGGTTAAATTTCCATGAGCTGAGCAATTAATTTTTTCTGTCACAGTAGCAATATTGAGCTGCCTCGCTATGTCAGTAAAAATTATGTTCTTCAGCTATGCTTAGACTACCTGTGGTCAGTTTAAATATATATAGCATAAATTTTATACTGAGTTTCCCTTCACATTCCAGAGGCAGTTGGGACTCAAGAACTGCCATTTTTGCAATACCAAGGAGTTTGTGTTTTCAGTGCTTCCTGTAGAAGCTCAAGGTAGGGATTTTAGACTCTAACATTGTCTGATGTTAGCAGCTCAGCCTTTTTTTTTTTTGAAGTCCAAATGAATTTTTAAGTTGGGTGTGTTTTAAGTCATGAACACAGTTCATGAGGAGGTTTCAGGGACAAAGCAGCAATCACATTTTTTCTTTAGTAATGAGATTTAAGAGTGCCAAGAACTAGGAAATCCCCATAAGCAAGATTACTAATCCAGACATGCTGTTGCTATTCTAATGTAAAATAATTTTTTCTGCATAAGATCTTGTGGCCAAGGGGGGAAAAGTCATGGCAGTTACTACATAGATAAGGACCCGTAAACCCAAAGGGAGCTGTTAACATTTGTAGAAGCAGTAATATGTGATGGATTGTAGTGTTGGGGCATGTGTTTCTGTGAAAAGGATTCTTGAAGCTTTGGGCAAGTCCATAAATAATCATTTATGGAAACCTCAAAAAGTGTTTGCATAAGAGACTGGAAGAACTCCAAAAGAAATACTACATGTTTTATGTACTTTTCTGTGGAAGGCTTATCTTTTTTTTTTTTTTTTTTTTTTCAGAAAAGGAATGTTTTATAGGCAGGGAATTTTGTATATATAAGCAAACATATACAAATCTAAATATTTAAGTGGAAAAATAATGACAGATTTGATACAAGACAGAAAATTAGCCTTTATCATACCTTATCCTTTTATGGGTTCTGTGTGCAAAGATAAAACTGGGTATAGTTCCACGCATTTGTAACAGTTTGCCTGTATGGTTAAGTTCGCAGCTTAGTATTTGTGGTTGAAACCATTGGGGGTTGTGCTTTTATGGAAGCAGTCCTCAGCTGGGAGCAGGGGTGCTACTTAA